AAATAAATAAATAAATAAATAAATAAATAAATTGCAGTCCTTTATCCACATATTCTCCCATTGTTCCATTTGTATGTTATAACCAAAATTTTTGACCCATTTTATCATACATTCTTTCACTTGTTCTTCTTTTGTTTCAAATCTCAGTAAAAGCTTATACATTTTAGCAATAACATGTCATCATTTATACATAATTCTGCTTCAGATTCAGTCTTAGAATATTCAAAACCAAAAGTCCTTTTATCTACTTTAAATCTTTCTGATAATTTTACATAGGAAAACCATTGACACGTGTATCATTCTAATGTCAAGTCATCTCTTGATTTCATTTTGACTTCTCCCTGGGAAAATTCCAATATATCACCATAAGTTAACAATTTATGTTTAGTTACCATTTCTCTTCTATAATATGCTTCAGTTGGTGAGAGCCATAGAGATATTTTCAGACACAATCTGGATTTATATCTATTCCGTATTCTCAGTATGACCCATCTATCAAAATGATTTTTAAAGTCAACATTAACTTTACCTTTGTCATACCATAAATAACCATGCCATCCAAACCTCAAACCATGTCCTTCCAGCTCCAATAATCTATTTCTCAACATCACCCACTTTTCAACCAAACTGAACAGCAAGCTGAAAAGTATAGTTTCAAATCAGGTAAGCCTAAACTTCCTCTTTCTTTAGCATCTTGTAACACCTTATATTTAACTTATGGTCTTTTCCCCTGCCAGATAAATTTAAATATATCTTTCTGCCACTGTTTAATTGGTACATCAGTTGTCAAAACAGGTATTGTCTGAAACAAAAATAACATTCTAGGCAAAACATTTATCTTATTCACAAAAATTCTCCCCAATAATGACAATTGTAATTCCAGATCTTTTTCTAACCTCCTGTGCATAAACTTGTATAAAGCTTTATTTTTCCTATGAATATAATTCCTATGAATTAGCACATGTGTGAGCTCTTCAAAGAAATGGAATATCTTCAGTTTTATTCTCTTTCTATTTAAGTGCTTCCATATTAGTTACTTGTTTGTACTACATCACACAACTGAGACATGGATTTTGTAATGAATATGGACCAGTTAAACTTATATTACATAATTACGTCATTTGCTCACTATGTAGCTATGATGTACATGATATCATTCCCACTCATCCACCCCTGTGGTTGCACTTGAGAAGACAGAAAGGTGGTATTAGGGGGGCTTTTGATCTTCCATTATTATTCCAAACTGTTATTAATAACTTTGATTGAGTGGAAGAATGCTACCCAATTTGCAGATGTTGCAAAACCAAGTGGAATAGATAATATGACAGAAATAAAAATGTCAGGAATAGATCAGGAGATACGTGCCTTAGTGATACTATTTGTCAAAAAAGAT